AGTATATTATCATCATTTACATGATGTAATTCCAATTATAACTACATGACTATATATGGAATAATATGAGATCCACATAATTTTTATAATCTCCATAAATATGAGAAAATATGACAGTTTTTTTGGTTCTGGCTTATTTCACTTAACATAATGTTCTCTAGTTGCATCCACATTTTTTGCAAGTGTCAAGATTTCATTCTTTTTATGACTGAGTAATATTCTGTAGTGTATATATACCACATTGTCTTTATCCAGTCAGTCATCAATTGATAGACGTCTGAATTGATTCCATACCCTACCTATTGTGAACTGAGCTACAATGAACATGGGGGTACAAATAACTCTTTCAGATCCTGAAGTCATGTCCTTTGGATATATTCCCAAGTGTAGGATAGATGGGTCATATGGTAGATCTAGTTTTAGTTTTCTGAGGAATCTTTATATTGATGTCAGAACCCTTTCATTGCAAGAACCAATGCATATCATACAGAAAGTGACTTGCCTTAGGAAATAGGACTTCTTCTCTAGCTATAAAATATGATTACTTTAGGGGGTTGGCATTATAGCACAGTAGGTTAAGCTGTTGCCTGTGACACTGGTATCACCTCTGAGCACCAGTTTGACTCCAATCCAACTCCCTGCTAATGTACCTGGGGAAGCAGCAGAGGATGGCCCAAAATCCTTGGGACCCTGCACCCACATGGGGACCCAGACAGAGTGTGGGTTCCTGGCTTCGAGAAGACCCAGCACTGGCCATGTTGGCCATCTGGGGAGTGAACCAGAGGATAGAGGAACTGTGTGCGTGTGTGTGTGTGTGTGCGCGTGTCCCTACCTCTGTAACTCTGGCTTTCAGATAAATAAATAAATCTTTTAAAAAAATAAGATTGTTGGGGCTGGCATAGTGGCACAGTAGGTTAATCCTTCGCCTACAGCACCGGCATCCCATATGGGCACCGGTTCTAGTCCAGCTGCTCCTATTCCAGTCCAGCTCTCTGCTATGGCCTGGGAAAACAGTAGATTATGGCCCAAGTTCTTGGGCTCCTGCGCCTGCATGGGAGACTAGGAAGAAGCTCCTGGCTTCGGATCGGCATGACTCCAGTCGTTGCGGCCATCTGGGGAGTGAACCAACAGAAGGAAGACCTCTCTCTCTGTCTCTTCCTCTCACTGCCTCTCAAATAAATAAAAAATAAATCTTTAAAAAAAGTTTTAAAAAAATGATTGTTTAAGAAAACTTAAATTTCTCATTTAATCTCCAGTTAACTTCACCAGCTTTGTGTTAATTATAAACACATATATTTAACTAGATAAGTAGACGGATAGAAATGCTGACATAATTACAAATATATGAAAATAGAAACAGACATAAAGATAGACTTACAGGCATAGATGTAAACACAGGGTTGGGGAACCTTTATTCTGCCAGGGGCCATTTAGGTATTTGTAACATCATTCATGGGCCATACAAAAGAATCACATAAAAATTAGCCTGCTAGGGGCCAGCGCTCTGGTATAGTGGGAAAAGCCTCTGCCTGTGGTGCCAGCATCCCATATGGGTGTTTGCTCGTGTCCCAGATCCTCCTCTTCTGATCTATCTTTCTGCTAATGGCTGGAGAAAGCAGGAGAAGATGGCCCAAGTGCTTGGGCCCCCACACCCACATGGGATCCTGAAAGAAGTTCCTGGCTCCTGGCTTTGGATAGGCTTAGCTCTGGCTGTTGTGGCCATTTGGGGAGTGAATCAGTGTATGGAAGACCTCTCTCTCTGTCTCTCCTTATCTCTCTCTGTAACTCTGCTTCTCAAATAAATTAATAAATCTTTCAAAAAATATTAGCCTGCTATAGATTCATTGAATTTTGAGTCTCACCTGTGGTTGCCTTGGCAGGGCCAGACCAAATGATCTCACAGGCCTTAAACAGCCTTCAGGCTGGATGTCCCCCACCCCTGGATAGCTAAAGGTACAATATCATGTGTGCTACACAGAGAGGGGTGGATGGGCGAAAATGAAAGTTCAGGAAAATATTACATGGTGAAAAAAACAAAGGTTCATAAAATGAAGAACAGAAAAGTGAGTGAGGAGGCTGGACATTGTAGAACAGTGAGCTAAGCCCCAGCTAGGGATGCCAGCATTCCATATAGGAGCGCCTGATTAGAATCCCAGCTACTCCATGCTTCCAATCCAGCTTTCTGCAAATGCCTCCTTGGAGGCAGCAGATGATGGCCTAAGTACTTGGGATCCTGCCACTCATGTGAGAGACCAGGATAGAGTTCCTGGCTTTGGCCTAGTCCATACCTGGCTGTTGCAATCACTTTGGGAGTGAACTAGGAGATGGAAAATTCTCACTCTGCCTCTCCCTCTCTCTCTTCCTCTCCCTCTCTACGTCACTCTGAATTTTAAATAAATAAATAAAATCTTTTAAAAAGGGTGTCAGTATTAAGGGTGATTTGTCTTGCAGAAAATGGGAGGAGAGGGAAAAGGTGGAAGGATACAAGTGTAATAGGGAAAGATAAAAGTAAGTGAATGTAGCATAGAATTATCAGCTGGTGTTAAAATTCATAGTCCCCCATTTTAATCTATTCTTGACTTATTTTCATTTTCTTTTTGTGCTCTTCTGGGTACAAAGATCTCTTTGTGAAGTTTTTACTCCCTTTCATCATTTAATGATTGCTTGTATTTTTCAGCATTTACTAAAAGGCTATTTACCAGCCCTGAGAAGGCAATGGCATGAAAGGTGAGAAACACAAGCTGTACTTTGAGCTCTTCCAAAGAAAGCACTTTAGAAATCAAAGGCACGGCTATATGGTTATTATTCCATCCTTGCCTGAAAGCTTGGCATGACATTATTTCTGATCCTCCAAGAGCAGTCTTTCAGTTTAGCCATTATATTATAATCTGTGAGTCCAAAAAAAGGAATGGATATCTAAATTGATCAGCCCACCCCAATAATCTCCTATTTCCCTTAGTTGCAACGCTGTAGTTCTGAGCCAGGAATCAGAAATACAAGCATAATAACTCATTCCATCTTCCATATAAATCAGATCCAGCAATGCATAAACTGTAGGGGCACTTAGCCAAGCACTGTCAGTTCTCCACAAATGAGATCCGCGTGCTCAACAGGCAAGGAAAGCATGAGATGTCAACTCAGGAGCACTCCTTCCATATATTTGAACATAGTTGTATAGCCAGTCACTTATTCACATTAATATTAGAAATAAACAGAAAAAAATAAGATTTTGGAAATAAGTCATAAATATCTCTAAGAAAAGAACCAGTTGTTTATCATGATAAGACTGGATGGATCTTAACAGTACTTGGGGAAAAATTCTTCCTAATAGAAGTCCTAAGCAACATTTTCCCTGCTTTGCAGCTCCATGAAAAGTAGAATCAAGAGAGGACTATCTAACAGCTTAAGAGAAAGAACATTTTAAATCAGAAATATAACCCATGCTTGTTTTTTCACATATTTGCAAGTCATCTGTAGACATCTTAAAAAAGAAAATATTTTAACAGAATGTGGATCTGATTCCAAGTTGTGATTGTTCAATATGTTCAATAATTTAATTATATGTAGATGTAGATACAGATGTAGATGTAATGAAAAGAATGAAGCCCAACTTGTGCTTTTGAATCTACTGACCAACTAAAATTTATGTTCTTATAGATTCAATATAAATTATAACAAAATCCATTCATTTCCAAGTATTGCTATTATTTAGAAATTAAAGAGATATTAGAAGACTGCATGGCAAAAGAAATTTTCAGGAAATAAACTAAGCTAATATGAAACAAGCACATAGTTTAATAATCTTTTTTCTAATGGTTGGGATTGGGAAAACACATCCTGTTAAAACATGGAAATATTTGGTGAAGATATTCTAACAGTTGGTACAGGGAAACATTTTTAATTACCTGAAAGCCAAGCCAAATCAGAAACTAATTTCTCTTCCTGTGTTTGTGGTGCCACACTATAGGAATTCTGTATTTGCAGAACAGGCTTCTTTGAAGGCTAGACCACAGGTTTTATGTTTTATTCACTGATACATCCAAATGTTCTAGAACAATATCTGGCATACAATCACCATTTATTAAATTGAATTATTGTTGCTATTCCTAGCATAGAAATTGTAGAACAAGGTGTCCTCCTCCTGCTCTATAAATTTAGCTATAACTATTGTGCTCAACAAAAACAGAAAGTTCGAAACACTAATTTATCACTTAGCATTTACAAGGAACTTGCTACACATCTCCCCACCCAGTTGTTTGGCTTTAGCACAACCTGGAAGAAGCTGAGCACCAGGAGCCCACATTGGACCCCTGCCTGGGGTTTGACCTGCTTCTCTCCCTAGCCCACCATTAAGGACTGAATTGTGTCCCACCAACTAAACAAATGCGTATGCTGAAATCCTAACCCACATTTCCTTAAAATGTGACCTTATTTGTTAAAAGTTTCATTGAAGATGTCATTAGTTAAGTTAGGATGAGGTCATACTGGTATAGGATGGAGCTCTAATCCAATAAGACTGGTGGCCATATGAGAATGGGAAACTAGACCTGACACACCATAGCGAGAGTACCAGGTGAAGACTAAGACAGAGATTAGAATGATGCTTGTGCAAACCATGGAAAGTCAAAGACTACCAGGAAACCACCAGGTGTTGGGGGAGAGCACGGAACAAATTCTCAAGCCCTCAGAAGAAAACATCTCTGTAGATACCTTGATCCTGGACTTCTACCTTCAGAACTCTGGTAAATAAATGTCCTTGTTCAAGCCACCAGTTTGTGGCACTTTGTTATGGCAATACCAGGAAACTAAGATAGCTCCTTGTAGCTTGTTAGCTCTTCACCAGGGTCACTCACACTCCTGCGCTCACTCTCACTGGGCATTGAATCATTCAGAGCTTAGAGTTCACAAAATCACCCCCCATTCACTCCATAGCATCCACAATTACACATTGCCAATGTCGCCTATGTGCATAGTGACGACATACAAACACTTCCTCTTACCTTCTGCTGGCTCCTGTGCTGGGGGTGGCATTATAACCAGGAGGAGGAGGCGGAAACCAGGACTGTCTGTTGAGAAATGACATCAATCATAAACATGGCTTTCAAAGCTGATCCCACCCACGTGCTGTCAAGGAAACGCTGAAAATAATTTGACAGTTAACAAAGACATGAGTTTACTTTTATGCAAGGCCTTAGAAATAAAACAAATGATATTTCATTAATGAAATAGGAAGTGACTGTCCTATATTTCCCCCAAATAAACTGCTTTTCTCATTTCCTTTCACACTGAATAATGTGGATGTTTCTTTAAAAAGAAATCTGACGCAAATCTAGCAAAGAATACAATTGTTAAATATAGACAGCAGGTTCATGGGCGTTAATCATGCTTTTCTCTCTAGTGTTCTGCATGTCTGAACTATTAATAGAAGTGGCAAAAATCTTATGTTCTACTCAAAATATAATATTTTAAACTATATGTGGTACAAAACTCCAAAAAAAAAATACTGAAAACATAAATGAACACCACTGCAATGCTAATCATAATTTTAACCTCTATTAGGAAAATGTCCTCACACTGCAACAACAAAATTTTAAATGGTACCAATAGCTAAGGGGTCTATCTAAAAGACTAAGATTTGGACCAAAAATGAAGATGTTGAAAGAAGAGCAATACAGATTAGAGAAGGCAAGGTTGGGATAAAGAGGTCAGGAAAGCTGGCTTTAAATCTTTGACATACATCTATATTCCAAGGCACCAAAGCACTGAACTAAGACTGCATGGGATCCCCCCCCAAAGCAGACTTCAGCTTACTGTAAGGGTAAGTACTACCCATGAGAGCTGGTCAGAGCTGTAGCCCCAAACAGTGAGAATCTTATCACTGGCTTCAGTGGTCATGAATTATGCCTAATCTGTCAGAGGAAGGTTCTTGTACCAAGTAGAACACTGAACTGATCTTAAAATTCTTTTCCTCAGGGCCAGCCCTGCAGCACAGTGGGTTAAAGCCCTGGCCTGAAGCCATATGGGCGCTGGTTCTAGTCCTTCCTGCTCCTCTTCCGATCCATCTCTCTGCTTAGCCTGGGATAGCAGTGGAGGATGGCCCAAGTCCTTGGGCCCCTGCACCCACGTGGGAGACCCGGAAGAAGCTCCTGGCTCCTGGCTTCAGAACAGCATAGCTCCAGCCATTGTGGCCATCTAGGGAGTGAACCAGCAGATGGAAGACCTTTCTCTCTGTCTCTACCTCTCTCTGTAACTCTGTCTTTCAAATCAATAAAATAAATCTTAAAAAAAAAAAAATTCTCTTCCAATCTAGGAATCTGTTAACAAAATGTTAAAGGGACATGAAATTTAGATTCAATGGAAATGTGAATCACATTTTCTGAGACTCTAAAGATAGAATCAGAACCCGACTACAGGGAAAACAGAATCAGTCATTTCTCTCCAGGAGATCTACAGCAGCACCAAGGCAAAGTCAGAAAGTACACTGCAAACACATAGAGCTTACCCTGCACCAGGCTGGTCCTAGGTGCAGGCAAAGAAAATAAGAAATGTTAAAAGCACTGAGGTTTACAAATGCTTGGTTGCCATTTGCATCATGATCCACCAGCACTGTTATCTTCAAATGTGAAAATCTCTTCCACCATCATGCTCTGTCTCATGAGGAAGATTCTGCTACCACAAGTCATTCTTCCCCAGACACATGTAGAAGCAGGTGTTTAGCCTAGAGGTTATGTTACCCATGTCTTACACTGGAGTGCCTGTGTTTGATTTCTGGCTGTGGCTCCTGACTCCAGTCTCCTGCCAGGGCAGACCTTGGGTGGCCATAGTGATGACTCAAGTAGTTGAATCGCAGCCACCCACACAGAAGACCTGGGTTAGTTCAAGGCTCCCAGCTTCAGTCTGGCCCAGTCTTGGTTCTTTTGGGCATCTGAGGAGTAAATCAGCAGATAGGAGCTGTGTGTGTGTGTGTGTGTGTGTGTCTGTCTGTCTGTCTCGTATTCTCCCTCTCCATCTCTGCTTCTCAAACTAAGATAGATAGATAGAAGTCAGTGCCAACAGATCACTGGAGGCCACAGAGAGGAACTTAGAGGAGGAGGAACATGAACACAAATAGGTGTCACCAGACAGGGTCTTTGACTCTGTCCTAGAAGAGCCAGCCCAACTTACAGAGCAGAGGAGGCACCTACAGATGCAGGCTGGTTACAGGAGTCTGGCAACAAAGGCCCTCATCAATCATTATTTCAGGCTGAGGCATTCCTTGTAGTAGGACTCCATGGAATCTGTGATCTGCAAGCACCTATCCTGTAACATCTAACCTTTATCACTACAAATGTCACCTGGAAATTCAAGGCCCTCAGGGAAAGGGAGAGAAGAATATGTACTGAAAAAAAAAAGATATTGGAGTAGGGGAAAGGACGGAAGTTTGAGGACAGCAGAATGTAGGGATCCCCGGGAAGGAGTCTAGGTGGGTAATTTTGTTCAGAGATGAACACAGTACTGTCCTTCAGAGGGTGTCACAAGCAACTCACCATACCTCTTTTTCTTTACAGGGGTGATAGCAGAGGGTGAGGATGTGGTAGTGGCGATGTTTGCACTCAACAGACTGCTGGGCTGCCTGAGAAATGACAAGCATAACAGAACATCACATTCCCCTACCTTACTCATTCTGCCCACCTATAAAAGACCTTAGAACCATCCATGTTCTCCCCTCTCTCTGTCCACAACAAAGAATCTCATTTGTGGATGGAAGACACAAATAGAAAATTCTTTCATAGTTTATCTATTTTGTAAATTGTCACTCTCATATAACTAGCTAAAACTGAAAGAATAGTCATTTAATATAACATTAATTGTCTGAAATTTAGGCCAATGAATTCTGGTATGCTGTGGATTGTAATTCTTTAATCCTGTGAGTAGGTCATGACTAACAGAATGACACTGCCATTTTTACATTAGATGCATTAAGAATATTTTGGAAAAATGTCACTTTAAATCTCTCTTAAGCATTTATTAACATATGTAGACCCTCAAATAATGGAAGCAACCGAGGTCTGGCTTAGGAACTGAGAGAATGGTCCAGTGTGAACATTACTTTATGTATAAATACAAATTTAATATTAATTGCACCTTAAAATCACCTAATTTGGACCACTTACAGCCACCAGGAGTACGTTCCAATAGACTTAACGTCAGACATATGATCTCATGACCTACTTCTCTCTGAAGGAGGACTTGTAAAGGTGAAGGGAGTTTAGGGAGGGAAGTGAGATGGAGGGAAGAAAAGAGGTAGATCCTGGAGGAGTAGGGGAAAATTGCTGCTGGGGGAAAAGTAAACAGGCTAGATTTTAAAAAAAGAAGAATGACCTAAGCTTTGGTGTCTGTTTAGACAAGGGATGGCAACCTTTTTCTATGAAAGTCCAGAAAGTAAACCTTTGAGTGCATGTCCACCACTTCAGGCTCTGTCCTCTACTGCTCACTGTGCCAAAGCCACAGTGACTTTGACCACAGGAGCTTTGGCCTGAGGGTGTAACCCTGGTTTTTCTCAACACAAACACAGTTCCGTTAGAAGTATACGTACGACTTGGTTGCTTCTGGTGGTTTAAACGTGGAAATGCTCCTGGTAAGAGAAGAAAAAAAGAGCAAAGTTTGAGCAGCAATGAAGAATTAATACTTGCATCTATTTGTAATTACTCATGAATTTAGAGCAACTAGTAAAAGTTGGATATGATTTCAGAGAAAGAAAAAACAAAGCCTCAGTATTTTAATAAACTTGGTAAGATGATGTCATGATTTACTTTTGTCTCTTGAATTTAGATTCCAAAGGAAAATTTTTTTCTCCAGAAGACTCAGTATCTTTTAAGACCAATGTTTATAATTTGTGGGATTCAGTCATTTTCTGTAGCCAAAAGAATGTAAAATTTGTATTTGCATGTGTTTCATCATCTTGCCAGCAGGGCTTCTTCTATAAAATCATAAATGTGGTAAGCATGACAACATGAAGCAATGGATTTTCTTGATTTTTAAGTCAGAAAACAAGAGCAGAAGTAAAGTTTTCTACACCAGAACTTTTGTGTTAAAAATTTAAAGGATGACAGTTAACAGGAAGATCTTAAGTCAAATTAAAGATTTGTAAGTAAATACGTAAATTCAGAAAAAAGATTGTCCTTGAGCCTTCCCCAAAGTTAGTAGACACTGGTACCTATTGGTTAGTTGGTTATCCAAGCTATTGGTCTTATAGGTTTTGGCTGCACCATTTCTGTCTGAGATCCTTTGTAAAGAAATAAAACAAAAGTCGGGATAAACATTAAGATTATTAATTCCTTTCAGACCTCTTTAATGCTACAATCCTTCACAACATCATCTGTCTCTTGTAAATAGAACTATTTTTTTAAGCATTGCCCATTTGAAAATTTTACAAAATATCATTTTTGACAAAATATAGTTATATAAATAGTTGTGACAAAATATAGTTATATATTTTGGTATAGTTTGAAATTTTAAAAGCATTATGCTTTTTGCTTGTTTGTCTTTCAGATTTACTGAACATTTAATTCATTAATTATTTTTAAATTCATTATGGGAGTAAAGGCACACATAGCATGATTAATCATGTTTAAGAAATGTTTTGTGGCATAGACAATTCACGAATTTGCCACACTCATTTTCTTTTTCTTCTGGGAGCATGTACAGTCCGTATTTCCTGACTTCATGGCAATTGCATTGAAACCATTGGACTGAATTCTAGACCACAGAACATGGGCAGAAAAGTTATTTGCCACTTTTAAAGCCATCATAAAACCTCCTGAATAATATTCCAAGCTCTTTCTTCCCCTTCTGTTATGATGTTGGTGCCTATGGGTTGAGGACAGGCAGGATTCAAAACATGGAAAGAACTTAGGCCCCTGAGTCACTGCATGGACTATAGCATACTACACCAGATTCTGATGAGTCAAGAAGTTGTCCTTCTGTAAATCATCTAGATTTGTCAAATTGATTATTCTACCTTAACAAATTAGTCTACTTTGATCACTACACTCATTTAATAAGCCCTAGTGGCCAACAGATGTCTTAATCTTTCACATCTCAGGTCTCCTTAAGGAGGGTACGTCTAGAAAAGGTATGTTTCTCTGCCTGTGGCTCAGGAAACCTAAATTAGTAATGTTACCATTCCATACCAGTAGTGAGGTCTCTTGACTGCAGCCCCTATTCCTTCCTTCTTTGCCTAATGTTACATAAGGAAGTTCCTCCTGGGACCTGGGCTGCCTTCTGGAACATTCTCCAGGCTTTCATGAAACTAGAACATAGCCCAGTTAAGCTAAGGAAAATGAAGTCAGCCAGACTCTTCTGTTGTCTTACACTATAGGTCTACCATAACTTCCCCTAACCTTCAGCTTTCACCATCAATTTTAGGCCAAGATTTTACATAAACTACTCTTACGACTAAGATGGATACTTACTTGGCCTCTCTCAAGAAAAATGTCAAATGGGGGAAATATTATCAAAAGCTAAAGATGTCATTTGACATGTGTAACCAAAATGCCAGGTGATGACTGTAAAGCTTTAGGTTTCTATACATCAACCCCTAACACAGTTTTGTTTACGGTACACAATACCAGCAAACACTAGCCCTGAAATGCAGAAAGGAAGGATGAGTAACTGGTATTTGGAAATCCAGAGCTCCGAATTCTCCCTCCACAGACTCTTTACAAGACACGCAGTGAGAAGAACAGAATCAAAGAACCAAATACCAAAAGCTCATATTTAAGGTACTCATCAGGCCAAAAATTAGGCTCATAACTTCTACACTCACTGAAGTCAACCTCTGAGTCATTTAGATTTCGAGGACCCTACAATGAATCATTGTGAATAACACAGGTGAAATATCAGCTCATCAGAAATCTTAAATCCTGAGTCTTCCTTGGAAACCCTACTTGAATTTTACAGCTGTCTATGAGTCTTGGGGAATTGCTACTCTTGGGAACTGGATACAACAGCCTGCTGAAAGTAAATGGAACCTCAATATCAAGGTTCTGAAGGAAGGATGATGTTAAAATTAAATAAAGTTAATAAAAATTACACAGTGTGAATCCATGTGGGGAACACTACACATGGTGAAAAGATAGCTACATTCTACTACTACTTCTTGGTCATTTAAGATTTTCTCTCCACTCTCAGGCCATCCCTACAAGGTATGAGTAACTTTTTTCATTTTGTAGATAAATAAATGGAGGCTCACAGGAGTTGGATGAATTGTTCTTGGTCACATTACTAGGAAGAAGCCTATCTCCAAAGTCTTCTCACTGGAGCCCAATGTCATTCATACATGTTATTCTGCATTGTAACTGCCCCCAGAACTCATATATTAGCTTAACATGTCTCTCTTTAGTTCTCATTCTTCATCTCTTATAATTTCTTCTATGCCACCGTGAGGGCAAGTCAATCTGTGGTAATGGAGACAACCCTAAACACCATTCGAATACATATGTCACTTTTTTAAAAGATTTATTTATTTTATTTGAAGGGCAGAGTTACAGAGAGGCAGAAGGAGAAAGAGAGAGAGAGAGGTGTTCCATCCGCTGATTCACTCCCCAGATGGCTACAACAGCTGAAGCTATGCTGATCTGAAGCCAGGAGCCAGAAGCTTTTTCCAGGTCTCCCACATGGGTGCAGGGGCCCAAGGATTTGGGACAACTTCTACTGCTTTCCCAGGCCATAGCAGAGAGCTGGATTGGAAGTGGAGCAGCCAGGTGTCCAATTGGTGCACATCTGGGATGCTGGCACTGCTGGCAGCAGTTTTACCTGCTATGCAACAGCGCCAGCCCCATAGGTCACTTTTTATGGCTGAAGAGATTAATTTTACATTTTCCTGGAAATAAGTTCCTGCCAACTTATTTTATATTGGTTGTTTTAATAGAAATTAGTCTTGAAGACAGGTAATAAACAGTTTAAGTAGTTATATAATCAAACCAAAGGAGAAGTAATACTTCCACAATAGAACACAAGGGGGCTCCCTAACCTAGGTTTCCCAAGCAAGTCATTGCACTACCTGCAGGGTTTGGGCCATCCATGGATGATAAAGTATTATTGTTGACATATTTATGTTTCTTTAGGACACCTCATATTTTTATCCACACATGTATATTTTAAAAGTGAACTCTTTACCTGTAAACTCAGTACTTTTCTCATAGTAATAAAACGAGTACAATATTACTAAAGTGCATGTGCACACATACACACATACAGCTGGTATATTGATCATCTTCCTCCTAAAATGATTTCAATTCTAGACCTCAGAAATGGTCTGCATTGCAAAAATTTGGCTCCTTCTAAAAAGACCTGCCATTTGGATTGATTTCTGTGTTCTCTTCCTCACATCACTTTTCATATTAACTGCCTTGGGAATGAACCAGCCAGGTTATTTCTCCCAAAGTTGCTACTGATCTCTGCATAAATAAAATGAAGATTTATATAGGTGATTCAGAATCTTACTGTATATTAGAATCACTTTGCAAGTTGATGAAAATGTCTGAGTCCTACCTCAAGCTAATTAAATCAGAATTGGGGAGTGAGGGAAGGCAGAAACATGCTATCTATGAAGTTTAGAAGCTCCCACAATGATTCTAGTTAGCAGCTAAGGCTGAAAATTATTCAACCAATTTGCCTGTGAGTCACATCCCAAGCTTCATCTTGATTGTCCTGATAAGAACTTTCAGATACCCATCCTATAAAAGCCTCAAAGCTAGCCATGTGGCTACTTTTCTTGGACCTTAATTATCTCACTTTAAAAAACATTTCTAGAAATATGGTTTCTTCCTTAGATGAGATCTTCTTACCAACTCATTTTGACATAGCTTTTTTTTTTTTTTTTTTTTTTTTCAGACAGAGTAGACAGTGAGAGAGAGAGAGAGACAGAGAGAAAAGTCTTCCTTTGCCGTTGGTTCACCCTCCAAAGGCCGCCGCGCTGATCCGATGGCAGGAGCCAGGTACTTCTCCTGGTCTCCCATGGGATGCAGGGCCCAAGCACTTGGGCCATCCTCCACTGCACTCCCAGGCCACAGCAGAGAGCTGGCCTGGAAGAGGGGCAACTGGGACAGAATCCGGCGCCCCGACCGGGACTAGAACCCGGTGTGCTGGCGCCACAAGGCGGAGGATTAGCCTAGTGAGCCGCGTCGCCGGCCTTTGACATAGCTTAAAATGAAGAGAAAGGCCAGCTGTCTCAAAGACAGTGATAATTGTCTCCACTAGGGAGATGGATTTGCAAGCCAATGACCAATACAGAAGTGCATACATTTGCTACATTAGACAACACTGGCATGGTATGAATATCAAGTCAATTAGATGGTGTAAGTTTCAGTTTATCTGCTTAGAATCCAGTAGGTTCCATTTTCCTCTACAATAGCAGCATACCTTTAACCTCAGGAAGTGAATTCAACTATCAGTGGCCATGGGTACCCATTGCGCCTTGATTCCTATCATGGATGTTAACTTTGCCCTAGGAATCTCGATCAAAGCTTGGCTAAAAATGTGATTTTTGGCATTTATACTCCAACATGAATAGATTTTCTCACCTTTTCTTTGCAGAGATGAGCCCTTTCTCCCTACAGAGGAGGGAACCATCAACAGATACAATGTAGTGCAATCTTTCCATAAGCTATATGGTGACTTGATTGCCAAAAGAGTATTTTCACGTTCTAAAGAGCTAATGTCTTTACAGACAGCAGATCATAACTATTGCATGATTAATGTTTACCATCCTGCCTCAAAGTAGTTGTACAGAAATTGCTATTTCTCCACCATCAGAATGGAAGGCTCAAAAGTTGGAACAAGGATTATGCATATTCACAAAATTAACTGCATTCTCCACTTCTAACAGAACTGATAGATGTCATGCAGTGCCCACCCTATAGATACTCATATCAGTATCTGAAGAGTTTCACTACCAACCTACTATTTGCAGGATTTTAGACAAACAATGCTATGTACTCAAGATTTTGCAAGTTTTAAGGAAGACAATTCCCTGGAGACAAAAATGAAAATTGTTTAAACCTTGTATTGGCAAACATTTAAACACTCCATTTAAATACTTTATAGCTTTGTAAGAAATGGGCTGTGATATGCTTTCTGCATTCTACTTGCATTATTCAAAGCAACTTACCTGTCCAAAGTGTCATCAGATCTGTACCGACTCAGTGTGGCTTTTGGCTCATCTCTCTCATTTATCTTCCTGTAGCAAAAATAAGTACCAGAAGATCAAATAAATTAGAGAAAGTAGTTTATAAAACTTGTCATTCATTTAGCAAAATCTTAACCTACTAGGTAAGAAATGTACATTTTACCAGGGGAATACAGATTTTGAGTAACCAGGTCTTCCAAGGTTTGGATTTGGCTAGAATAAATCAAGGCAGGCTCAATTTCCTAAGCTAATAAAAGATCCTTTGCTGGCTCCCATTATTTCTCACTATAACATAACATATTCAAATTGGGGATAAGGATACAAAAAGCAAAGAACCCAACATGCAAAATGGTTTCTAACACATACTCTTGCCAATATTGTTTTCTACATAATGGGAACTCAATCCCTTACAATCAGCTCTGTTGTGTTTGCAGTGTTAGCAGTGCCACCAGTCTACACATTGAGCTAAATTCTGAACTATTTTATTCAACAATGAGCACTGTAAACAGCACTGAAAGTAAATAACTCACTGGCAGAAGAAAGGGAGGGACAGGCAAGAAAGGAAAAGAAGCAAACAGGAAAAGCTGGAAATAAATGACAAGAAAGTGGGAGATGAGAGAAAGGATAGCTATGGGGAAGAGAGAAAAAGAGTGATAAGAAGAAATGAGGAGAGGAAGCAGAGAGAGGATGGATGAACAGAAGAAAATGGGGGAAGGAAGAAGGCAAGAAAATAAGGAAAGAAAAAATAGGATATTCAATGGTAGAAATCATGATCATGGGACTGGTAACTAATCACACAGGAAAAAAGGCCTGTTTAATGCTTCATCTAACCCTGTAGATAGGGAAAGTAAGCTCTTTGTGGGAATTATATCATAATTTGTTGTGTTTTCATTTCAAACCATTATTTGATGGCAATATATTAAAGAACTGAATCAGAAGTAGTACAGTGACTGGATATTTACGTTGTAATTTGTTCATATTTTTTAAAGATTGATTTATTTATTTGAAAGAATTACATAGAGAGAGAAGGAGAAGAGAGAGAGACAGGTCTTCCATCCATTGGGTCACTCCCCAGTTGGCCACAACAGCCGGAGCTGCACCGATCTGAAGGCAGGAGCCAGGAGCTTCCTTTGGGTCTCCCACATAGGTGCAGGGGCCCAAGGACTTGGGGCATCTTCCACTGCTTTCCTAGGCCACAGCAGAGAGCTGGATTGGAAATGGAGCAGCCAGGACTTGGACTGGCTCCCATATGGGATGCCAGCACCACAGGCGGCGGCGGCTCTACCCACTATGCCACAGTACTGGCCCCTGTAATTTTTTCTAAACATAAGGGGCAGGTGTTTGATGTGGCAGTCAAGATGCTACATCAGATACTCACATCCATATCCAAATGCCTAATTCAAGTCCAAGCTTTGTTCCCCGTTCCAGCTTCCTGCTAATGGGCACTCTGGGAGGCAGAGGCTCGATTAGCTGGGTCCCTGCCATGCAGAGAGCGTTCCCATATTGACTTTCTGGCTCTGAGCATTATGCTTGCTCAGTCCTGACCATTGCTTACATTTTGTGAGTGAGTGGACAGGTAGTAGTGCACTGTCTCTCCCTCTCTCTCTCCTCCCCTACTCTCTCTGCATTGAAAATAAAAATAAATTTTTTAAAAAATGTGTGGCAAATTTTCACTGAGCAGATCTTTAGAGGTAAGCAATATACAAGTACTGTGTTGATGACTATGAGGAAGTATGGACTCAATTAACCATAGATGCTACCTACACAGAGTCAGAGAGACAAGTTAGATATACACATTCGAGGATAGAAAGTATCATAGAAAAGGTTCAGGTATGGTGCAAGAAGTGATAAGTTGAGGTAGCTGGTTTCCAGATGTAAGAATTAAACAAAGCTCGATGGAGGAGGTATAGCATGAGCTGGGCCTGGGAAGATAAATAGATATGAACATTCTTAAACAAAGGAAGAAGGAACAATACCCGTCAAGGCAAGAAATGGGTAAAGAAAAATTCCTAATGCAATTCTTCAAGTTTTTGAAGGAAACCTTGGAGTGAAATTCTGGTGTGGTTCACTAGCATGCACGTTTGAATGCAAATAGACAAAGGAGGGCCCCTCACACACCTTTACAATAGCACTATCCATATATACGTATAGTACTGCAGTTTCAGCTCTTTTTCCATGAAAGCAGCAGCTCCTTAAGGTTATGTCTTAGGACCTGTCACAATGGCAGCACATAGTAGGTGCTCCAAGGGGGGTGCTAAGTAAACACCAAAGTGAATAAAGCATTGAAAATGGACAGTAAACTGACAAAGGCTATCATTTTGGTAAGCAGGAGAAAAATAATCTCCCTGCTCTTTTAGGTAAATATATTCTGTGATATTAGTTGTAGGTCAATGGGAAAATGGCTAGACCTTACAAATTTTTGTTACTGAACATAAAAATTGATGCGCTACTTTAGTCAAAATACTGGTCAGCAAGTGTAAAGGCTTATAAAACATGTTGCATGGGGCCAGCACAGTGGCGTAGTTGGTAAAGCCGCCATCTGCAGTGCTGGCATCCCATATGGGCACTGGTTTGAGTCCCAGCTGCTCCACTTCCCATTCAGCTCTCTGCTATGGCCTGGGAAAGCAGTGGAAGGTGGCCCAGGTCCTTGGGCCGCTGCATCTGTGTGGGAGACCTGGAACCTGGAAGAAGCTCCCTGCTCCTGACTTCAGATCAGTACAGCTCTGGCTATTGAGGCCAGCTGGGGAGTGAAACAACAGATGGAATATCTCTCTCTCTCTCACTGCCTTTCAAATAAATAAATAAATCTTTAAAAAATGTAGCATATTCTGCTATAGTTTGAGTATGTTACTCGAAAGTTCCTGTGTGAGAAACTTAATCCTCAACTTCATATGCTACTGGTATTGGGAGGTAGGGCCTTTGGGAGGTAATCAGGGTTAGATGAAGTCATAAGGGTAGAGCTCCAATGGTGACATAATTGGCTTCAACAGAAAGGAAAGAGAGACTTCAGTTAGATGCTCTGCCCTCTCTTCATGTGATGTACCTTGACTGTGAGATGATACAGCGTGAGGCCCTCACCAGATGCCAAGCAGATGCTGGATTCAGGCTCTTGGACTTCCCAGGCTCCAGAACCACGAGCCAAATAAACTCTTGTTCCTTACAAATTTCCTGGCCTAAAATATTTTGTTATAGCAACAGAAAACAAACTAACATGTATACCAAGAATCTGAAGCTTAGTTTTCTTCTTACAATTCCAAACAATTAGCTGTATCCTCCAATGTCTCCAGAGAAAGGTAAATAAAGGGCAAGGAGCAATTTCCACTGTTGACTAAACCCAAATGATCAGCCTCCCCTAGTCTGATGAAATGATGGCCATCTGAGAACCCTGCTTTAACCTTCAAAATCATGAAAACTAAGGAGGAGGCATAGGTAGATAGTCTGCCAGGTCACACAACAGTAAATTGGCTGAACAAAGAATAGTCCTGGAAAATGAAACAGTTACCTTGTATAAAGGGTTGTAAGCTTAATACCTTTATTATAACAGGTAAAAATGTGAAAGATTTTAAAAAGTTAACAAAACTTCACTAATGAAAGTTTCCATAATAGACAAAGTCAATGTGTCTCTCTAACTTTTATAAATCTACAACATGAAAGACAATCCCACGTTTTTACTAAGTACTTCAATAGACACAAGCTACTGAACCAGATAAAATGTGGTTCTGCTACCTAACTAGGTTCTTCAGATAGGTGTCATTGCTTGTATATGTGTGAGCATAAATGTGCTTTAGAGAACATTATTTATTTGGTCAACCTAGATTATTTACATCATAGTGATTGCTAATTTTGTCTGAATTTTCCTACTAAATGGCATTTGTGAGTCTATTTGTCAGTGAGGATCATCATTTTCCCACAGGTGCAGGAGATTCCATGCAGCAATGTACTGTCCCATAAAGCAAGTAAACTCTGGGGTTGTTAGCTCTTCAGGATTGACAGAGAAGTTATCAGGTCATGCTGCTTTAAGTGTCCTTTCCCTACACATCAGGAGGACCATCTTAGTGGGGTGGGTCAAGGGTTGATTATGTTCCACCCTGAGCTGTTGCTCTGAGAGCACAAAACTGGAGATGCACTTGTCCCCAAGGAAATCCCTGATACTATTGAAGATACCCCTTCATGTGCCCAGAACACTGGGAAAGCCTGAGGCTGGCTAAAAGTCTTCAGCTATCCTATACAAGTCCTCTCTCAAAGCTACCATCTTTGTGTTTAGGCTAGCAATATAACACACCTTTTTGTTCCTGCTAATGATGTGAAATACTCACCTGTCCAAGGCATCATGAGAGTTGTGTCGGTTGAGCACCACCCTACCATAATTTTCATCTCTGAGAAGAAATAGTAAAATTATATCACACCATAAAGTTGCCACATAGGAGTTAAGCACGGAACAAAAGAGAAGGGAGAGAACTCACAACGTTTGGCAAGGTTAATCATTTGACTTCAGGCATAAGAACACAACCATGAATCTGCTTTAACCAGTCACTACTTGCAAGAGCATGGTAAAAAGAAACAAGTTTGTCAGTACAGAAGATCATTTATCTCATGAGATTTCCACATGATTCAACAATGAATGAGTGTTTTGTTTCGTTTTGTTGTTGTTTTATCACAGTGTGGGAATACAAGGCCATCGACTTTGTATATATTAGAAGAGCTCTTTTTCTACAGGAAGGCAAAAAAAGACTTCCACAAATATTGTTGAAGTTCAATTAATTCCATTATATCTAGATATTTTAATGGACTTGGCAGTTTTCTTTGACAAATTGTAGAAAAGCAAATACTGGTATTTGTGGCTAACAACATTCTCGGGAGATTAAGCCTGTTTTTGAACTATGAGAATACATAGCTCTCTGTTTGGTCCTTAAAATAACCCTATGAATTAAGCAGGGTAAATACTGTCATATCCAATTCACAGATGAGAAAACAGAGCATGGATTTTTCTTAAGACCACAAAGTCAGCAAGTGATAGATGTAGATCAGGGTCGCGGATCTTTTTATTCCAAGCTTTTGCTTCTCCTACTGGCCAACTCTGCAACACACTTTTATACGTAAAATTCCCAAGCCATGTCTTTCTTATTTAGTGCACTAGCCCTGAAAGTACATGCAATTTCAGGAAATGTCAAAACATGTAGTAGAGTTCTTGGACTTGAGCTAAAGCCAAGAGTAACCACCTGAATTTTTTTCATGTCAACCCAACCAAACCTGAAACACCACATTGTTCCTGGTTTGGCACCACTAATATTACTCAACACTCTGGAACCATTTTTAATAAAGCTATAAAAGAATTGTGGTAAGCAATTAAAAAGACAGCTGGACAGTGAAACTGAAAGAATGCCAGCAAATATATCCCCTCAAAGACCCCACAATGACTGTTCCATCTTCCTTGGTATCCATTCTGAAAATCTGTGAGAAAACAGGAGACACCAGGTATGTCTTTACTTAAGAAGAATCAGAACAAACAGCCCGGAACCAGGCCGGTGGGAAATGGGAAGCATCAAAGCCAATTTTCCCTTCAATCATTAGCTGCAGTGCCATGCAAGCTGGCATTGTGGGCCTTTCTAGAGAGGCTTGCCTGATATGAAGCCAACATTTCTGCCAACCGGGTTTTGTCTTAGATGTCTCTATGGTTACTCATCTGTGTAAATATTTGTAAACCAAAATGTATTATCTACATTTGACATCACAATACCACTACAGAAAAACAGAAACATCACATTGGACTAACGGAAGCCCTAAGGGCTATTTCACCGAAGGAAATGATTATTGTCCAACAATGATAACTCCAGAAGTTAGACTCCAAGCACCTTTATATTTCCTTAAAACAATAAAATTAAATGAAAGAAAGTAATAGGTATTTTTACTTAATAGTTACAAATACGCCCTACAAATAACGTAACTGGACAGTTTATACAAACTTTGAAATTGGTGTCCTATAACATAGTTTCTCAGCTTTGATCACATTTTGCTGTGGGGCTGTCCTGTGCATTACAGGACTTAAACTAGCAACCCTGATCTCTGCCCACAAATACCAGCAGTCCTTCTAGAGTTTGATATGCAAAAATGTTCCCAACATTGTCAGAGGTCCCTTAGGGTAAAAATTCTGGTTGAGAAATACTGACAAAATGAGAGACAATGGACCATATCCCAAGCTCATCACTTAGTAGCTGTGTGCCACTTGACAAGTTACCCACCTTCTCTGAGCCTTAGATTCCTCTTATGTAAAATGAGGATATAATATCTATTTTGTACATTTGTTGTCATATTTAGTAATTCTTTATATGAAAAGTATCTAGCATCAAACCTGACACATTAGGAAATCAGAACCTGTATTTATATGCATACATAATATATATTGTGTACATAATTTTTATAAACATATATATTTGGTATGGGAAAATTTCTATTGTAAATCTATGTTGGCAATGAGGCTATAGGTCTATTATCATAGTTTTGAGATCTTTAAAATTATACCTAGAAGAAGAAATACTTAAAGCACTGCCAGTAGTATTTTCTCCTATAAAGTAATGTCACATTTCCCACTCTTCCAACACCTAGAGGTAGATGGCTAGATGGGACTAGAATGAGTTGGAAATTTACTGATTTCATGTGTGTATATAGACACTTCAGATAAATTCTTATTAAGTTTAGAATCATACCATGATGTGTTTGTTTCAACCGCCATGATTGACACACAGCTGGAATCTCCCTACCATGGATTAACTGCTACTTTTTTTTTTTTTTTTTGGTAACTAGGAAAAGCCTGTGATCTTTTTGGTTTATCAGATAAGCATAAATATATATTCTCATTGACAACCATGCTTGTACTAGTAATGATTCACTTTCTCTTACAAATGTGGGTATTAAAATAGAGACATTCTTGAAAATCTAATACAATCAATTTATGCCCTCTACATCTTACCAAAAATTAACTATTTGAGAAGGAAAATATTCACTCTTCAGATGGTTATTGGTTTTCCGAGCACAGAGTGCCTCTCTCTGCTCATCCATCCACCCACCCCTCTCCATTGGCACCTTACTTTTCTTCTTCAGGACGTTTCTTTATCCAGCTGCTGTCTTGTAAGAAAGTCCTTCTTTTGTTCACCTCATGAAATCCCTGTTGCCTCAGTGTGGTCCCCTGAGATGTGCTTTTCATATCTATTAACAGAAAGATGAAAATTGGAAAACTCGTAGTATTAAGTTGAGTGTGGGTTCTCAACCTGAAAATCTTGAGAGGCACATCTGATTGGCCAGCACCAATCTTTAAGGCTGGCAAGTCCAGTACTGTTTCACAGCAGAGTGTACCAGCAAGAAAGAACAAATCCCACACCTCATCATCAAAGATAACATAAAATTGTTTAGGCGCCAACTGAAACTGCCGATGCAGCTCATAAGGTTCCATCCAGCTCCTGGGAAGGTGTAACCACCAGCCTGGGATAAATGCAGCCAGGATTTAGTGGGGTGCTCAGTACAGTCCATAAGAAATATGTCTCAGAAGTACACACAGGGTGTTTTATAGCACATAGTAAACAATAATAAACAAGTGCTGGTATATTTGATTACCAGTGACTTCATCCTTTGATGTCATGGGAGCCAGAAGTATAGATGGTCATACTCAAAAAAAGACATTTTGATTGATTAGAAAAAACTTTGTATTGCAATTACATAAGGAAGAGCTGTAACACTCTTGTTTTAACTTCAGAAATCTAATTAAATGATAGTGTTGTCTCCAAGCATTCAGAATCTGTATTAAAGTATTAGGTTAGTGAATTGTTTCTCCTAGATTTTTAAGTTTTCTGAGTAAAGGAGACATGGTCTACATTACCATTTTTTGTGGGAGATGATTTCCTCAAGGGAAAATTGGACATTCTGTCTCCCAGCAAGGATCTAAGAGGAAACAGAACAGTTACTCTAAGAATCTATCAGCAAATATATAGTACTGAGAGATATTTTTTAATGACATCGACAAAGTCACAGGATTGGGTTCATCACCTCTTTCTCTCGAGAAGTCAAAGTAAACCCAGGCAACTGATGTGTAGTTAGAAGGAAAAACTGGTATTTTAGGCATGGCCATTTGGGAGAGCCCGAGTTCCTTAGCCACGACCAGCCAGTGCTGGCAAAGTGCTGAGGAATAGGATGAGCCATAGTTTCCCCATTTGCCTGGATTGACCCCCAGTTCTGCAGAGCTAAATTATGGCCATGCAGGTTGTAGGCACTTTTATCTTCACTTCCCACACACATGTAAGTTAGAAATTATGTTTAATGACTATGTTAGTATCAGTACAATCCAGCCTGACTTCATTCTTATTCATTTATTATTATTATTATTTACATTTATATTTTACCTCTGTTGTTAAAAAGACTTGAAATTTGAATATTTTGGTAGGGTTTAAAGGTATGGTAGTCCTTAGGTGCTGTGTCTAGTTAGTTCTGGGCCTCTCTGGGACTTCAGTGTAAAAAGCAGAAAAGTCCTGGGAAAAGGGGGCATGGTCATCACCTTGGGTGGGGTTGTTTTGTCCTTTTCAGTGTCCATGGAACAAAACAGTAGATGGAATACTGGAGAGGCACTGGTGCTCAAGTCAGAAGTCAGGTCTATGCCTATGCCTAGCTTCACTGCATTCAAGTTCTGTAATTCAACTACTTAACCTCCTCTTAAAATGGGGTTAATGAAATGCGCCATCTGCTTCATAAGGTTGTTGTGATGGTCAAATGAATAATGTACACAAAGACCACATTGTCAGATTTGTAAGTGCTATTGGACTTAAGATAATACTCAGACTACATTAGTCTACAATATAATTTGTGGGTTCCAAAATTTCCTACCTCCCATTGTCCAGTGCCAAATTATCCCCTAGAACAACCTGCCATGGGACCTGAAGTGGAAAACACACTACTTTGGGTTACGTTTTTATTTTCTCAGGAGTCTCCCTGTAGAAAGTCAGAAGATCCAAGTGCAGGCTGTTTTCTTGGCAGGTACAGGCTTGTGGCTGTGCTTTTCCTGGTAAACTGCCCTCTGCTAATGAAGCTCCCTAGTTCCATAGCCTCCCCATCCACCACAACCCACAGCCAGTGGTCAATTGACTCAGGCCAGAAAAGCTCAGACCCTCACCTCAAAGTAGAGCCAATTTAGTAGGGCAACTGGCATTTCAGGGATGCAATGCCATAGAAGCTCGGCTCCCTACACTGCTTCCCCTCCCTTGATCTCTTCTCCCAAGAGCACACCCTCCACAAGTCACAGGTACCCAAATTCCTCTCAGGTACCACATCTAGGGAACCTAACCTAAGACAAGGTCTAACAGCCAATGTGCAATCATGGCCATTACCAGCACAGAGACTAGCACCTGTTTACAACACTAATAGCCAAGATCTTGAAGATGTTAGTAGAGTTAGAACATTCATTTAAACAATTCTTTGCAGTGACTCTGGCACATTGGGACTGTTATTAGCTCAGGTCCTTCACCTGTAAAATGAGGTGAAATAGAGCTACTTTGAGGATCAAATGGAATAGTATGTAAAGTGTCTAATAATCATCAAACACACATTCAGTGCTCAACGATAGTGCTCAGCAGGTGCTTAATTTCATGCCTCTGCTCTACCATCTTGGAAAATAGAAAGCAAAGCCATAGGAGAGGTATGGCTCAATGTAGGGAGGAAAACAAACTTGAACTTGAGCACTGGCCATGTAGGTTAAGTGGGGAAGTCCTCAGCTGGTTGAGTTCAGGGGTTTCAAAGACTTAGCCAGAAAGGAAAGATAAAGAGGAACCTAAGGATAAACTTAAATCTCAACTACTGAATTTGGCCTGTCTCACCCAGCCTCTCAGGACTCTTGGCTAAACTATTGCTGATGTCTGATGTGCTCTGATAAATTCTTTCCTTTAAGTTGATGAAGACCTGGAGAGTTCCCAGCTGACTGAACTAAGATTCTGATGTGGTCAAGATGTTGTTTATTTGATAATATTTGCATACATGGAAAATTCAATTGTCACACAAGGGGCAGGGTACATGGATAAAAAGACTTTGCAATGACAGTCACTCTTAGGTATCCACAAGGGATTCATTCCAGGGTGCACCTCCTCCTTCACAGATGATCAAGTCCCTTATATAAAATGGCATAGAATTTTTATCAACGCAACACACATCTTCTCATATACTTTAACTCATTTTTAGATTGCCTAAAGCAATGTAAATGCTATATAAATAGTTTTTAGACTGTACTGTTTAAGGAATAATAAGTAGGGAAAAAAGTTGTATAAAAAAGACACAGCTTGGGGTATGGATATTTTAGATGTGCAGAAGCTTGGATCTGTGACACAGAACCTGTGGATATAGAGACTGACTAACTTTGTTTATTTGTCTCTTCCAAGAGTCTGAGTTTCCAGCAGGCAAGGCTTATGTCTTCCCCCTCTCTTCCCAATGTCTGAAATAGGACAAGTGCTCTCTAAATGCTTATAATCGGCTGAATCATATTCTCCAAAATTCATATGTTGAAGTCTAAACCTCCAGTACTTTAGAAAGGGATGCTTTTGGAGACAGGGTCTATAAAGAGAATACTAAGTTAAAATGAGACCCTGTGCATAGGCCAATCTGATGGTGAACTTATAAGAAGAGAAAATCTGTAAACACAAAGAGAAAACAGAGAAAAGGCCAGGTAAGAGCAAAGAAAGAACTAGCTTTATGCAAGCCACAGAGAGAAGCCTCATGGGAACCAAAACTGCTAACACTTTGCTCTTAGACTTCCAGCCTCTAGAAGTGTAAAACTATGAATTTTTGTTATTTAATTCACCTAGTCTGTGCCTTTTTTTTTCCCTATGGCGCCATGGAACCCTAATACAATCCTTATGGAAAAATCTGACTTAAATATTTCCAAAAGAGTCAAATCACTTGAAGAGTTTGGTGTCACATTGTCTGTGACGTGTGTTCTTTGTGTCTTGCACAAAATAATTGCTAATCGCAATTGCTAATCCATTATCCATTAGTTGGACACAGGGTACCTCATAGGCATTGTCTCTCATTGTCACATAAACTGTGAGGTGGTTGTTTTCACCTCCAAATCCCAGGTAAGACAACTGAAGCTCACAGCAACTATGTGGCAAGCCCAGTGAGTTAAGAGGCAGAGTTTGGGGGCTGGCACAGTGGCGTAGTAGATTAAGCCTCCACCTGCAGCACTAGCAACCCATTTGGGCACCAATTCGAGGCCCAGCTGCTCCACTTCTGATCCAGCTCCCTGTTAATGGCCTGGGAAAGCAGTGGAAGATGATCCAAGTGCTCCATCCCCCTCAAGCACTCAAACTCTGCCTGACCCTTTCTCCTCAGGAAGGATCCTTCTGTCTACGAGTCAGTGTGAAGTGAAACTTGTCTGAGCAGGTAACCAGTGAATGGGGTAAGGGTGTCACGGAGGAAAAGTGATGAGCCTCAAGCTAGAAAGGCTCAGGATGAGTCCCAGCTTTGCCGCTCACGAGCTACTTGAGCCGAGCCTCTCATTCTGTTTGTGCAAACTGGGGCTTGCATCAACATTAAAAGACTATTATGGAAACTACATGATATAATACTTTATGTATATTATAAATTACTATAAAATCATATAAAGTATTATTACTGTCTAAATTCTCATTACTTTTAATAACAATAATTATACATATTTAAGGACTGCAGTGTGACATTGTGAAACATGTATGTATTGTACTGATCAAATCAGAGTAATCAACTTTTCCCCTTTGACATTTATTTTTGATTGGCGTTTAGAGTTCCTTTATTCTTTTTGTTTATAAATTATATACTAGGATATAGTGAACTCAGCTATGCTGTGTAACATTAACTTACTCCCTCATTCTACCTCTATTTAGTATCAATTATCCAGACTCCCTAAAGAGGCAGCAGAAGCCTGGTTTGGGAGGAAGACAGAAGTAGGATATGGGTAGGATAGTAAGGAAAATCTAAAAACATTCATATGTGTTTTTGTCCAGACCACAAAAGAAGTAATGAGGTAAAAATGTGGGTATACAAGAGAAAGCAAGTGAATTCACCTGAAACTATTTCTCGAGAGTATCCAAAAAGTCACAATGTAGAGCCAGTGGGGATGATTTTAGGATACTTGCTCTCATCCTTAGCATAGAGAAAGAGGTTAAGAGCCATGAGCTCATTCAGATGACTTAACATCCTTTGTCTTGATTAAATGACTTTCTGGAGAAAACCTGGCTACTAAAAGCATGATAATATCAGACCCTCTAGGAAGATATTGGATCTTTCTGGAGCCAGCACATATATAAGGCAGAGGAAATACCCATTTTTCTCTATGCAGCTCCCTGCAGGAAGTGCCGGAAATCTGGGAGTCTGTTGAGATCTTATGCATCCCAGCATGGTACCTACACCAGACACTCCTAGATGGGCAGGGAGTAGAGGTAGGGGATGGAGGCCAGTTCCACTGACTTATTGCAAAGAGTCTGCTTACAAACTCTTCTGCATTCAGCATCCGAGTGGTTTTATTAGTAGAATTTAAATCACTAAATCCACTCAATTTTTAATCAATCAGCAAAACATTCAAAATACAATCAGTCACATATGTGGGACATCATGAATATTTTTAATTTTAAAAAGGCATTTTCAAGCCCAAAAATGGTAGTCATAATCCTTCTAGATGTTAGGGTAACCTTTATTTTTACCTCTACTATACCTCCAGGACACCATGCCTCCCTCTTTTAAATTAAAAATCTTACTTTTTAAATTTTAATATTTTTCTTGAACTTTTTGGAGGGTATCAAAGGAGCCCTGTCCAAATGGGAGAAGGCAAGGTTCAATTATGGGTGATCTGGAAGTTTCCAAATAAAGACTTGCAACACACTGTGGTTGCCTATCTGTTATCAGTACTCATTTTCTCCCTTACTAATAGC